TTTTTTGTTATTAACAAACAAAAACCGTAATTATTTTCACTGCTGTTGAAGTTTTCCTTATTGTTTCTGTACATAGATGAATGCTTCAGTAAATTTATCGGCAAGTTTGATATCATTTTCATCCATTTGTCGTTCGCATTTATTTTCTAGATAGGGTCGTATGACATTTTGATTGAGATACTCTTGGAGTAGCTTCATTGCTTTCGTACTTTTTATTCCATGTTCTTGCTTGCTTACTTCACTAATAAAATTGTTCATTGCTCTTTTCAGCAATCTATCGCCTGAATTCGATTGCTGTTCACTGATTCTTTGTAAATCAGCTCGCTGTGTTGAAGCCGTACCAAAGGTAATATTAAAAGCATCGAAAATTTGACGATAATCTTCAATCGCTTGATGATTGTTAGTTAAACGATCAATATCATTCTTAAATTGGTTTTCACGTTCAATAACTGGACCAAGCAATTGACGAACATTAGCATTCAATTGGTGTTTGGCCTTTTCAAAAATAGCAAATTTGTCAGACGATTGTAGAATATTGGTTATGAGTTTATGTGTTCGATTGTCAAAGCCTTCAGTTGAATTGAGCTGTTTAATAGTTGTTGTGAAAAGATCACGAATTTCAGTTTGTTCAAGTTTAATAACACGTTCAAGAGCATTTCGTAGAACTATGCCAAACATATCGATGAGTGGCAATTTATTGACATGTTTATACATAGTAGTAAGTGCATGTGAAAGAATGTCTTGGTCATTATTGCTGATTACATGTTGACCATTAGGTATGTGATGATGAAAAACGTCGTGTACAGTCGCGCAACAAAAGCAAGTGATTTATATTTAATTGCCGATTTTGTTCTAATAAAATCACCTGACAGTAATGATACAGTGCCGATGATGTTTAAAACCGTGAGAACCGAAAGAATAATCAAATTTGCACTTGAATTTCCTGAAGAATCTCAAAGGGAAAGATTTTGTGATATTTCATAACGTGCGATCATTGAATAAACATTTTTTGGACATCAAATCTGACAAAACATTTTTATCTGCTTTTATGATAAGTCTTGTGGAAAAATGGACAAAACCTGGTGACTCTTTGGAAATCGAAGGTTACGAGATAGTTCAAAGACGTGATTGTAATCATATGTGAAAATCATATGGCCAAATAACTTATTTAAAAAATGACTTGAACTATGAAAATATTATCGAAAGATGTGAATATTTAGGATAAAATCATATTGAATATTCCTCAATAAAAATTGATGATATTTGTATTATTTCCGTTTACAGTTCACCAAATGCGTCATTCAATGTCTTAAAACAAAATATTAATGAAGTTATAACGGTTTCAAAACGATTTTGTGAAAATATAATTGTCGCGAGTGATTTTAATATAGATTTGAAGATTAAAACCAATTACAAATTCGTTGAATACATGGAATCATTCGGGCTTACTTTGAATAATAAATTAGGTAAAAACTCAACTAATGCTAAAGCACAGATTGACTATTGCTTCACTAATTTGAATGACTTCAAATCTGACTATTTTGAAAGTCTCACAAGTTTTCATAAACCGATATGGATAAGAAAACATCCAATTGTGACTGAATCTCATGTTGATGAAAATAAACAAATTCGTACAGATATGTCTTTTAATCTCGAAGATCTTAAAATTAATGATCAGTCTGCCATGATGGAAATTGATGAAGAATCTTCTTTCGAAAGTCATAAAAGCATTGATTTAAACTCAAGAAAGATTCTTGATCACTTTCTTTCTGTACATGATATTAATAACAATACTGTGATCATAAACCAAATTTTAAGTCAAGCTCAAATAATTAATCATTCACTTGAAAGATCATCATATATAACTGTACATAACAAAGATTAATCTGTTAAACTGAGACAGAAAACAGAATATTCTGTTCAAACATTCGACTCAGTCTACGCAAGAACCCACACGACTGAAGATGGCAATTGTTTATATAATTCTCTTTCGATACTTAATATTGGTTCTGAAAGACTAGCACAGCCAATGCAATGATTAATAATAGTGATCATTTTAAAGAATTTGCAAAGCATTGAATTATTCATTTGAAGAACAGATGAAAAGAACTGTCACGGATGCAAAATGGGGTGGAGAAGTTCAAATTCAAGCCCTTTCTGTAGCCTTATGTCAGCCTATTTATTCATATGTCAAATTCGAGAGTAATTCAAAAAATGGACACTATATTCCATCCGATATCAGTCTACAAAAATTGATCGATCGATTCGATAAAGGAACCGCAGATGGTCATCTTAAATATATTGGATGCAAATCAGATATGAACAAATTGAGTTTATGTATTTATTTCACCGGAAATCATTATGATGCTCTCTTACGTTTTCTAAATAATCCTCAACAATTTATACCCAAGTATGATATAATTAATATGAATTTATAAAATGAAGGAAGGTTTCATAAACTCATCAAAATAATTAATTAAAATAAACAAGTTTTCATTTATGTAAATAAATAAAGACTTCAGAGCTAACTCCTTGCCACGTCTCACGGGACAGAAAGAGAGCATCGACAGTGCATAAGGGGCAGTTCCTTGCTAGAGGTCAATAAATGAAAATAAATTTGTTTAGGATAATTGAATAAGAAAAAGAGAAAAAAATGTTAACCTGAGTGAAATAGTCCTATTCCATTGTGGTAAAAGTGCAGTTGTAAGTAAACGATCAGGAAGTTCTCTTAAATATTGTTTAAGTGTACTTGCAGGAACATGTGGATCTCATAATTAAATTCATTTAATGTTGTTCTTCTATCAATTGTTTGTAAATTAAGTTCAGCAACAATTTTTTTTTGTTTTCCTTGTAATGGTGCAATACGAAAAAGACCTTCTTCATTTAAACTATTTTCTAATAGACGAATACATATTTCAATTGGATAAACAATTAATGTATCTTTTCTTTTTGAACACTGTTTTATAAGATCATAACCAAATAATAGAATTAAATCATCATTTTCTAATCTTTGTTCAATTTCAGGCATTTTTCATGATAAATATCGAGATATGTTATTATAAAATTGATTTTCTTCATATAAATATTGATAAAAAAGTTTAATTGCAATTGAATGTTCTTCACTAGCTATTTTATGTTTCAGTTGCATATATATCACGTGATAATGTTCGAGATTGTTCATATTCACAACGAATATCTTCTAATTTACGTAAACGTTCATCAAAATTTGCTAATGTTAAACGATCAGATCGTGTTTGAAATCTTAACAAAATAATTAGTACATTTTTTATTTTAAATAATAAAAACAGAAACATTTTTAAATTGACATCAGCTGTTTCTAATTTTCGTTGAGTTTTTTCATAATTATCTCTTAGTTCAGTCATTGTTTGACAAATAGTTGACTTATATTAAAATTAAATCAATAAATAAATACTTGTTTATCTCTAGCTTGTTCAATAATTTTTTTAAAATTGTTCAAGCCATTCTTTTCATTTTGGAATCAATAAAATCGTGTATTTGAATTAAATCATCAATTGTTTGATTTAAAATCGATAAAGCACCATTTGTTCTATATGGAGAACGATAACAACGTGCAACGTCACTCATATGAAATTCTTTCAATGATTTTGATACATCCTTATCAATACTTTTATTTAACTTACAAAATCTTTATCTATTTTCCAAAGATCAGACTATACTTTACAAGAATCTCGAATATAACGAACTCGATTGTATTAATCAGGTACATCATCACTTCTATATTAATAAATATAAAGAAACAAAATATTTTCATTTTTTACTTTCGAATTTCTTTGTTTAACTATATCGATAAATATCCTATTCAAATAAATTTATTTTAAAAAACGTTTTTTATAAGGATCAATTAAATTTATTTCCTTAGAAATTTTCAATCGATGATTCGAACTATTTTATCATTATTTCGTCGTATAGAATGTTTCTATCTAGCAGTTAAAACCAGATTTTCGACAAAACAAGTTCAAATCGGATGAAATATTAATCATTTGTTAGCGATCGTCCAGTAGAGAGAAATAAATTGTTTCATAACTGTGCAGGTCAATATAATGTTTCTAGGATAGATTATTAAAATGATAAATAATTTTCGTTGTCAATATTTATATATAATAAGATAATCAATATAGATTCATCTAGAAATCGATTTATATAATAAGTAACGCATTTTTGACCAGATGTTAGGAGATAGTTAACTATTTAAATTAGTTTTGAAAAAACAATAATAAAGATTTAATATGAAAGTTTGATTTTTTTAATTCCACGAATATGAAAACTATTTTTTAAATCTATTTAAATAACATAAAATGTTTGGTTAAATTTGAAAAATTCTTTTTAACAATTTGAATACTCTTCAAAACAAATGATATTTTATTCCTAAATAACGATTTTTTTTTTTAATGAAAAACAATAATATATAATTATTATCTTAACTCGACAATAATAACATAAAATAATATCATTATAAAACTATAGACAAATTTTTAACAAAAAAAAACACTAGCAAAAGGTTAACTCAATTAAATTAAAATAAATAAATTGAATAAAATATTATTTCTATCAATATTATTCTAACCATTGAAATGATTTATTATATAAATATAAGATTTCATTTATTTATTTAAGAGTTTCATTCATTCAATAAATATCTTCCGTTCGTATAATATATGTTAAATCGATCGAGTTATTTCGATTTCTATTGAAAATAATTCTTTGAATATATTATATCTTTCAAATATAATTTATCAGTGTTTTTTTCCCTTATTTCAATATTAAACAACTATTTTATTAAATCGAAATAAACCAAACATAAATAAAGATAATAAATGAGATTTATTTTTATTTTTGAATCGCTAATATAAATAAATCTGTTAATATTATAATATAACCATATTCAATAGAATTACAATTATAATAACAAAAACAAGAGAAACATCTTATTATATAAATCGATTATTTAAAATGTTAATTAAAATAAATATATATGTATATATTGAAAAAAAATTTATATAGAATAAGTTGTTGTCTTTTTATTTAAATTAAAAAATGAAAATCTCATCCAAGGATACGCTGCAAGACTTGATCGTTGTTCGGAGTTTGATCGATTATCATCAGATAAATAATTCTCATTTGCTAATCTCTCAATAAAAGAATTCTTTCTATTAAATGATGTCATGCGCACTCTTTTTTTTTTGAATATAATAATTATATAACGAAACGACGAAAAAGAATAGAGAACCCTTCAATAATCAATTCTTTATAAAATATTCAAATATAATATAAATAAATCATTTTCTAATAGAGATATTTTATTTCTAACAGTTAACTATTTACCGAGATAACCTTTTACTTTTTTAAACAATTAACCATTTACATTGAAATAAAACCTTCTATTTTACATCGAATTATCTTTTATTTTCATTGAAAAATTTTTTTTTCGATTGAAATATTTTAATAAGATATAATATATGTAAAATCTCATTTTGGTCTTCAAAGATAAGACAACTATCAATCTTATTCTATAGTCAACATTTTATCTCGAAAATAAAATAAAATCAGTTTACCCGATATATAATATAGAATAAAATTCCAAAATGATGATATCTATTTATCGTCTAGAGATATCCAACATCTATTTAAACTACTCAAAACGAACCATCAAATCATCTTGGTCAACATATATATATAACAATTGAGAATATTTTCAAATTATTCTCTAAAATCTCGATTAGGATAGAACTAATCTTTAGATGTTATGATCAAATCAAATGTTTAGAGATTAATGATAATACGGAGGATCGAAAAAGTGCTTATGTTATATGGTAATGATACCCGCAGGAAAGAAAATAATCTTATGTTTTTTTTCTCTCTTCCATAAGGTATATCTTATGAGTTTTTTTTTCATGCTAATAGAGTTCGAATATTGAGGTTAAACTTAATTATAGGAGAGAGAAAAAAAAACGACGAGAGATAGAATAGATCAATTAGATTTTATTTATTTAAATATTAATACTAAATTAAATTTTAAATAAAATCAATATAACGTTAGAAAAAAACTTGTGTTCGATCTTTATTACCTAAAACAAGTTCAGCTCTAGTTCAGAACTGATGAACTGTTCAAAAAGCTCACTACCACAAACTGAACTATTTGAACAGTTCTTTTCAACGAACTGAACCTTTCCAAATAGTTTAGCTCTATGAGTTGATCATCATGAAAAGTTACACATACCATCTTCAGGATTCCTTAGGAGCATCACATGCTGGATATCTATGACTCCTTAAGTGTTCTATGGGGATACTCATAGGTCCACAAGTTCTGTTATATAGGGGGTATCAATAGTTCCTCAAGTCCTATTAAATATGAGTGTGGGTGTTTATCTTCTCTTCACTTACACCCACACCTCAAGAATAGTAGAAGAATATCAATAGTAACATCTTATCTATGCTTTCATCGCCTTCGCACGATATTAGATTCTTAATTGACTAAAAAATGAACCTACTAATACAGAAATTCATCATACATTTTCAAACAATGATTTCTATTGACCTTTTTCTATGTATACAAACACTTATGGTAATATAAGGTGAGAACAAGAGAAACTCTTAGATATCATAAAAAGAAAGCAAGGCATGATATTATTTATTAAGTTTTTTTGTAATGAATTGCTTTTTATTTTGCTTTCTGTTGACAATAAAGATAACGACTAGTTTAACAAAGAGTGAAGCACTTAAAATGAAACAAAATTCAGAGAGAATGAATATCACGTCTAGATAGAGTTTTTTGAGTTATATTTGTAAAGGAGTTTTGAGTGGTGCTGAAAGTTGTATGATTAAAATTGCATTAATGTTGTCATTTGTTCTTGAACTCTACTCAGTAAAGATTATAATGCAAGTTTAGTATGTCAATTTCCTTCAAACCAAAAATTAAGACAACAAAATAACGAAGATGTGCGTGTAGGTGAGCTTGTTTTCATAGACACCAACAATCTACACCTTAGCTCATAATTTACTCATTACTACTTGTAGTCTGTCTTACTTTGTGATCTATTTGATATACTTAACGTGTCTAAATCGATTACAGAGAAAAAACAATCTAGAATATCCTATTGTTTCTATTCGAAAATGTTTCAATAAATAATATTAGAAGATAAAATCGAAAAATATTTTCTCATTGTAGAAAATTAAGATGGAATTGATCGGTATTTCTTCAGAAACTAACTATATGTAATATGAATTTGAAAAAGTTTCAACACATTACTATATTTTTTATTGAAGTAAATCTAATTCAGATCAATAACGAAACTATTTCGATGAAACAAAAAATAGTTTTTTCAATGATGTAAAATGATGAATTATTTTCAATGTCATATAAGAATAGTTATCAATATATTTATTTTTGACTTTTATGGAACAAAAACCTTTCGAATGAACTCTTAGCTATTTTTATAATTGATTTATCATTTGGAAATTTGTCTTTTTCGAAGTGTTTCGAAGGAATCTCATACCTTTGATGCCTTATTCTAGCACTTATATCACAAAAACTCCACACTTATGACATTAATATGTGATCCATGAAAATGTTGAGTTTTTTTAGGAATAATGAGTGAGTGAGATTGAACGTATAAATACGTTCCTCACTTCAATATCAATAATCTCCGTAAACACTTATTTCAATAGCATGTTGAACTTGATTTCAATGTTCAACAACATCATTTGTGTTCATATGTTAGATTACGTAAATCAAAATATGATTGTTATACAGTAGGAAAAAAAAAACAAAAATAACAGTATTGAATTTTATTATTAAATGAGCTGTGTGATTTTCGTCAGAGAAAAAAGTGTACAATATAAGCTATACAAAAAGAGAAGTTTATAACAGATCAGTACATATATATGTCTAAATTAAAATTACTCTTCCGTAAAAACTTTCTATAATACATAATTGAATTTTTATATCATCTTCGTAATCATCAACTCTATTTTTTTTTACTATTGATTCGGCTTATATAAATGGTAAAAACTGTATAATATTAATTGATACAAATTTAATGTATCCAATTGATTCGTCTATTAATTTTTATCGAAATTCTCATTGATAAACAAAAATATTAGTAGAAAAGTAAAAGAAAAAAAATTCTAATAAAGAAAACTAATTCAATGAGATAAATCTTTTAATATTCAATGAACGCATCTACTAAATCCTTAAAGCATTTAGGTATGAGCTAACAAGAACAGCTCATCAGATTCACACCCCTCTGTTATCTTCTGTATTACAATTAAATATTAAATAAAACAAAGTATAGATAAAGAAGAAAAGTAAAAAGATTGCTTTCGAGCAAAAGCAATAAATGATTCATTCGATTCGTTCTCAAAAAAACATTTACACGCACAACTTTCAACAGTATTTATCAGGTCATAATTATACAAAAATTACAAGTTTAAAATCTCTAATCGAAATGTATTTTTTCCTGTAAACGAACTTTCTCAATTATTCTTTTCTAACAGTAAAAAGGTCAAACATTGTTCCTATTTCATAAGTAAAAAGCAAAACAACTAGAATCTTTTATTCAAACTGATATTTTTGTTACTAATAAATTGTTTATATTCATGTTGACGAACAACAGTGTAGTGTCAGACTCAACAAGATATATAAAGAGATAAATACTAAAACAACATTCACTGAAATACTGACAAAGAATTCGTCTATTTGTGGATTTTACCAAAAGACTCGTTGTTTAACTTTACAAAAAATCTTTTATTAAAAGTCTTTTTATTAGTTGAAATTTCTCATAAAAATTATAAGGACGATATCATTTACTCGAAAGAGATTTGCAATTTTCTTTAAATCTCTTCTATGTCTCATAGATTCACTTATACTTTTAAGCATAACAAAAAACCATGTATATATGTCTAATGAGGAAAAAAAATGTGATTCATTAATTTATTTATTATTACTACTGAGATTTCTTTTATAGACTCAAATAATTAATCTAAACATAATTTTATTTATGAAAATTCTGAGATATTTTTCAATGAACTCACAATAAAACTCTATATCTCACAAATACTCGATAAAAATATCAATTATCTTTAGAAAATCATAGAAAACGAATATTCGTCAGAATATGTATTCATCCTTAACGAGAAAATATTCCAATAAGTTATTCAGCATGTTTTCTTTTTTCTTTTTTTAGTGTAACGCCTCACTCTACATCTATAATCGAAATACAGAATACACCAACAACTGTATGATGGGAGATCTGAATAAAAACAAAATATACAATTTCTCAAGCAACTATAGTTTAATCATTTTCTAATAAAAAACCAACATCGAATTTTTATAAAAACTTAAATATCTACACTGAAAACAAAATGAAATTGTTGTATCTGTCGAATAATTTTTATACAAGAGAAATATAATGAGAAATACATGAAGACATTCATTAAATGCTCTACTGCTATCATTATTGTCTCTCTTAGAAAATACTTCATTTCATTCTAATTAAATGACATTACTTCATAGAGAGTACTTTGTCAGGTAACTAAAAACAGTTACCTCTTTCATTTCTACAATGTCAAAATACTCATTAATAATTCAATTAAGAAAGTGGAACATGTAAAGGCAATAATATTCATTATATCTAAACGAAAAATGCCTCTTTTTTGTACTAATACTTTGTCTGATATACAGTTTCGTATAAAAATCTAGAAATAATATTACTTTTACATTACAATTGTTTGTTCAAAATGTTTATAATGATGAATTTTGTTTTCATCGATAAATCTTGAAAATTTAAAGAGTACAAATATGATATACTCTATCATCAGGAGACTATTTTGAGATGAATTCATAGCTGTTTATATATTCATTACTATATCGATGAATATGACAATATAAGTGAATGCACATCATTCATAGTTTGTTGTGTACAAGTTGATACATTCTGGACGAAAATTATATAAATCCTGAGAAGCACTATATTCTAATGAAAATCACTTGAACTGAAAGAAATTCATCAATCTTAAATGTGTAGAAATTTCAATTTTTGTACAACTAACATTTTAAAGAAAAGTCGAAAAACTATGCGTGAAAAAAGTTCACGCAAAAATTTCTCAGAAATTTCTCAAATACATATATATATAAATATATTGAAGATAATGAAGACGTTCAATAAAAAATATATTGTTCAGTAGAGAGACAAACACTATCTTATTCTATATAATTTAGACATGTATATATTTCAGACATTCTTAAAATAAAGATCACATTTTGTAAAAACAAGACACACCTATTTTTTAAGTTATTCGAGTTGATGAATTCTCTTGTCTTGTATTCTTATTTGAAGATGAGCAATGTGAAGGAGAAAGACAACACCCTCTATATATATGTAACATGAAAATTTTTTTTCATCGACAATGACATGATATAGATGTATGTCAGACGAGAAAAAAAATCATCAAATCAATCAAAACAAAAGTGGAATGATTGATAAAAAATCAATCAAAATTTTGAACATCGGTCAATTAATCTCAGGGTATATAAAAACATGCATACATCATTATGAAATCATACACTCGAGTTGTATTATTACAATGCATTACAATGTATTTATATACCCGGGATTATTATGTATTATTACTATTATATTATTTACAATGATAATTATATTATTAAATTCTATATGAGGTAAATAATAAATTCAATATATATTGAATAAAACTTTTTTTTTTCTTTTTTTTAGATGAGTTTCGATACTATACAATATTGAGAAGTAAGAAAAAAAATTTTTTACATATTCAGTTGAATTGAGTTGAGATAAGTTATTTTGAGAAAAAATAAATACTATCAGTTATTATGAGGATGAGTATGAGTACTTTTGAGATGAGTTGAGTTGAGTTATTAGTGTGGGTCAGAGAACTACGTTGTCTGATTCAATAGGAACACGAACTTTCGTGTCATAGCGAAGCAGTGTAGTGCTAGGGAAGGCCTCTATGTGTCGTTGGTCCCTATCGTTAATACGGTATACCTTCGGCCATTGCCCTACCAGTCCGGCGTGGTCCGCCTGTGGTACCTATGGCATTGACAAGGGATCTTTCCCTTGTCGCGCGCGCGCGAATAAGCCAAAATGAGCCGAGAAAAATCGAAATGATTAGCGATGTGAATAAATTTATTGAGCACATAAAAAAGTAATTTACACCTTTTTAACATTGTTAATTCTACGTATCGTTTCTTTAATATGAGGATGTGATGGCGGAAGTGTTTTCTGTTGAATAGTTAGCGCCTTTTCGAGAAACGAAAGTGCCTTGGAATAATTGCCTATATTATTATACACTTCACCGATGTTGCCATATGAAATAGCCAATGAGGGATGATTCGGAGGCAGAGCATTTTCGAAGATTTTATGTGCTTTTTCGTAAAATTCAAGTGCTTTCGAGTAGTCACCCATGTCATTATACACTTGACCAATGCAAGTGTAGGAAGTAGCCAAATCGGGATGATTCGGAGGCAGAGTTTTTTCGAAGATTTGATGTGATTTTTCGTAAAATTCAAGTGCTTTCGAGTAGTCACCCATGTTGCTATACACTTGACCGATGTTGCCATATGAAATAGCCAAATGAGGATGATTCGAAGGCAGAGCTTTTTCGTAGATTTGATGTGATTTTTCGTAAAATTCAAGTGCTTTCGAGTAGTCACCCATGTTTCTATACACTTGACCAATGCAACTGTAGGAAGTAGCCAAATCGGGATGATTCGGAGGCAGAGCTTTTTTCGTGATTTCGAGATCTTTTTCGTAAAATTCAAGTGCTTTCGAGTAGTCACCCATGTTGTTATACACTTGACCGATGTTGTTGTAGGAAGAAGCCAATGAGAGATGATTTGGAGGCAGAGCTTTTTCGAGGATTTTATGTGATTTTTCGTAAAATCCAAGTGCTTTCGAGTAATCACCCATCTTGTTGTACACTAGAGCAATGTTGTTGTAGGTAGGAGCCAATGAAGGATGATCTTCTGGTAGAGTTTGTTGTTCAATTTTGAGAGACATTTCATAAAATGAAGCTGCTTCTTTGTATTGTCCTTGGTCGTCTTTCAACCATCCAAGCTGGTGATAGATATGTGCTCTATCACTGTCGTTAGAAGCCTGTTCTAGTAGTGCCATGTACAATTCTTCGGCCTTGTCAAATTGACCAATTTTGAGCAGCAATTTACCCATTCGGTACCATCCAGTGCTACCTGAAGATTCTTCTCGTATACGGTCGGTTAATTGGCGAAGTTGTTGATCATCATCAGACGTAAGTTTAAGGTTCACTTGATAAAGTGGACTTTTCTTGTCAAGTTTTCGAACTTCATCAATTCGAAAAACGGTGTGCATGGAGAAGAGAATTTCCTCCTCGTCCTTGTAATAACTCACCTCCTGGATGGAGGCGAAAGGAGTCGATGAGACAGTAGGATCTATTGTCATTTGGAAGAGGATGCCGACCATATCGGTTGTTCCTAATGCATCTTTGGCGAAACCGAGGGAAACATCTCGTTTTGTACTGGTGGATAAAAAGTTGTTGAAAGATATGAGACCACCTTTGTTTTTTGCAAGTTTTTCAAAGTCACTTGTCGATAATCCTTGACCCCTATAAACTAGAAAGGACTTTCCATGATACTGACTGACCTGTTGGTTGTGTAATTCTTCGATCTGTCGATGAACATCACACAGGAAAAATCCCATTCGGATGATAATGTCGCCATCCAATGTTCTTAATGCTCGATTGAGCATTTTGAAGGTGAAGCATTGACGTGTATACCACCATAAGGCCAATGTTGGATGATAATTACGTTGAAATTCATTGATTAATTTGAGTTCTTTGGTATTGCCTTCGTATTGTTCTTGGCAATATGTGACCAAGTCTTTAACGGCTTTTTGGCCATGCTCCATATCAAGGAGTATTTCCTTGAATATTTGAGTATACATGAAGGAAGGCTCTAGCTGATTGAGATTTTCGCTAGAACCTCCTTCGTTGACACTGATAATACTGACTGTAACTTGATCTTGATTGCATTGTTTGACAGCCAGTGCCAATTTTTCACAGATGTGCTTGATTGATGTATGCACACCTTTAATTTTGGGCCAGTTTTTAGCCCATTCTTGGTGACGTTGCTTGTTGCCACAAAAGATATATATGGCATCCAGTTTTGGCATGCCATGAATTTCTGGTACCAGGTGTTGTCCTAATGCACCTGAGGAGATGACAAATGATGTCTCCTCATTGTTTTCCTGGAGTTTCTCCATACATTGTTCGGCCGTGGTGCATGGATTGACTTGATTAATAACACCGCGTAATTGCGCGAGTGTATTCTGGCAATCTTCATTTGCCATGTTGATATTGCTGTCGACCCAGATGACCAGGTAATTTTCAGCCATTCGTAGTCGTCGTTGTCTATTCATTTTCGATGTTGTTTTTGACGTTTGCTCGACGATTGAATATTGTGAAGGATCAATTGTTGTTTGGATAGAGACCCCTGTTTTCTATTTATATATTCGATATTGGATGTTTTTTATCTAGATTATTCTATGACGTCAAATATGGGTGCGTATTTTTTTTGTTGACACTCAAAGATAAACCCTACCTACTTTCAATTGAAAATATGCTTGTCAAAAGCAAACGAAAGAAAAAAATCCAACAACATAATTTATTTTTATGGTTATTCTTTCCAACTTTAGTTTGCTCTTTTTTTATATTAACTTTTATTGTCCCCATAAAATGAGATTGACAATAGAAGATAAGAAGAAATTAAGCATTAGTAAATATAATGAAAATAATGAGATAGCATGAAGAACGATACAAACACAATAAGTAGAGGTATCATCATCATAAATTTATAGGCTAGTGCGATCTTATGGTGGGATGTGTGTGCCTAGGTAGATGGGTTTCCGAATGTGAGTATGGGTGGATGTGGCGGTGGGTGTATGGTGTGGATTGATGCTGGTAGATGCGGTTGTGACTACAGTTCCAGGTGGGCGTGGATATGGGTTAGTACAGCTGTAATTATGAGTAGTGGATGGCTATGTGGGAGTGTGGCTGTGGATGTGAGAGCGGAAGCGAGTGACGTGAACGTGGTTGTCGGTGTCGATGTAGGCGCGGATATGGGTGTTGGTGTGGGTGCGAGTCTTCTCTTCAGCAAGCACGCCCACGCCCACGTCCACCGACACCCACAGTCACACTCATACCCAAGCCGCACCTACAGTCACACACTCATGCTTTCATTCTTCAAGTTAACAACCTTGTCGATCATGTGAAACAGTAAAGTTAATGGTTAAAGTTGGCGTGAATGATGTCAGGCCTCTTCACGCCCTCATGTCAAGATAGATAGATAGCGTCTCCTTGTAACTTGTGTTTTGAAAATTTCTAATCCCTTCGAACCAGGCATTGATTTTACTTTTTATCTTATTTCGAGGAGTACTCTTGTACAACTCATTTCATTCTAGCTCTTTGATCATTAGTAAGTCGACTACAGACTAGAATTCTACAAGGTTAACATCAAAGTTACTGAAGAAAGAAGTTTTCCGACGGATGCATGCCGTTTTTGTTGATATTTTGCGCAGATGTATAGTTTGATGACACTAGAAAAAAACCTAAAAAGATAACGGCGCACAAGCTTTCCTTCTCGAACGATGATCATTTTACTTGCTTTACCACCTATGACAAGGGATTCAGTGAAAAATCAGCTTTCATGCACATGCAGGTCTTATGACCTATATATTAGGCTTAAGGTTGCAGTCAAAACAAATGCTTCTGTCGTAAAATATTGATTTTTCTATAGAAGTCGATTTTCCTGACATGTATGCGGCATGGCAATGTTTTCTTGATAACACAATATTTCGAGAAAGAGACATTTGTTTTGACTGGAACTTTTAGGCTGATATATAGGCCATAAGACTTGCATGTGGACAAAATCTCAGATCGAAATTTCTCAATTTGATTTTTTGCTGAATCCCATGTCCTAGGTGGTACACCAAGTAAAATGATCCTAACTTGAGAAGGAAAGCCTATGGGCTGTTATCCTTTTTAGTTTTTTTTCTAATCTGATCGAACCTTACATATAGGCAAAATATCAACAGAAACGGCATGGATTAGTTGAAGACTTTTCCATGAGAGTCTTGTACCATTACGAGCTCTTCGCAAAGATTCGCATCGGTTTGAGAAATGAACTTTTCAAAAGTTTTATTTTTGTGTTGTTTGATCACCAATTAGTTAAGAAGTCTACAATAAATATATTATGTATTCAAACAGACTCGATAAGGCACTATGAACCCTTGTTTTGTTTTTTAACAATGATACAGTATGCCGTTTGTGTCGCAGGAGTTAATCGCAGAAAAAGAGAAAATAGTTGGTTGTGGCACATGCTTTTATTCTTCTTTTTCGGAAAGTCAATGACTTTGCACACAACATACTTGAATAGCAGTCTTCATTTGCATAATAAATATTTGATAAGAAAATAAAGAACGGACCACTTTGTTAGTTGTCATCAGTGGGTTTTATCCAACTTACAAGTAGAACAACACAAAGTCAATACACAGGTGAAGTAACGCTGAATCAGCAAGCGTTGATGGCGGTTACAGTGGGGAGCCAGGCGGACATGTGCGAAATTATTCTTTTCTAGAGTCTAACGATTTGCGTAGATATATGCATATGTAGTCTATCATTTCCTAAAATAGTGGTTCTCAAAGTTTTATAAAGCCCAAGAAAAGAGCTCGCCAAAGCTTGCGCCCCAGAAATCAGCATAAATAAAGAAAATCAAGCTGTTAGACAATATGAAACAACATTGCACAAGCAGACAATATCACAAAAAGCTTTCTCATGGGTAGAACTTATGTTTAAAAAAAAGTGATCCAAATTTAATTTAAAATAGAGTAGAAAACAGAGGATCTCGAGATCCAAAACCTATCTGAAAACATATTGTTCCATATATTGTAAGCACTACAAAGAGAAAACGTCGAATCGAGCGCGCATTTTTATCAGACGTTCTTACATATGTAACCTACTTATGATAGTGACGCAAACTTATAAAACCTTTTCTAAGCTATTTTACAGTAGTAAATCCGATTTTTGGCACTGATATTACTCTTTGAAGAAAAACTATGGTGATATTCGGAATGAACGCATTACACTACTTCAAGTGATACGTAGCTCAACATATTTTTCAAAACAAATTGTTTTCGGAAAATTATGACTGAGGTACTACTCCCCAGCCAGATTTTTTCGTAAATTTTTTTCTTAAAAACTTTCTGTTTTCTTAAAGATGATTCTCTGAATGATGTATGCTTATTTCTAAGCAAATGAAAGCCATTTCTGGTCAAAAAAATCGTATCTTCGCCTGCTTATGCGAAAACTTTCCCCTGTGCTGCAGGTACTCAAGAGCTATTATATAGAAGTATCCTCAAATCCGTAAGCCCTATCCTGAAGCAATAACCGTAAGTAGGTGTATCATAGATTCAGCTCAGTTCGCTAAGCTAGAACTAGTCAGCCAGCTCTGTTCGCATGAGCCGAGTCTGTTGCACACCTAATGATCAATCGATCTCTAGTCATAGAAGAGCTCAAAGTTTAACCAAATTTTCGAGCATTTTCTCCGCCGCATATACTACTTGTGTATTGAAGACACTCTATCACGCGACTCAATTACCTTCAGCTAACAAAAAAAGCTTACTCTTAGTTGCTAAAGCAAAATTCAAGTACACGTTTCTTACATTACTCATGAACGTAATATTTCCTAACTCATTCAAGATCAGCTAATATACGGCGTATAAGTGAGATTCTTACCAATTCTTTAGACAACGCCTAAAAGACCATGACAAATTAGGATGATCCCAATGCACTCTCTCTAATTAGTTCTAATTAGTGGGGTACTAATTAATTAACTAACTTACAATCACATAATGTGCTCATAGCCTATGGCTGCAATTGATGGAATCCTACTATGTGCTGTCAAGTATAAAAATGGACTGGCGTGAAGTGAGCTCGAAATTTAGAATTTACGCACTATGAGGCTCACTTGGTCGACCACATTTATATACATAGGAGTATCATTAGAAATATGGTTCTGACATTCTACTCGATATCATTATGCTTATTGAATGAACTTATAGATTAAATCGTGAATGAAAAATGATTAACATGAAGAAACAATGAAAACACGTTATAATCAGCATAAAAAATACGTCATGATAAACTTTGTTGAAAAAAGTTGATTGAGCCAGTCATGATTTTTCTTAGATATTTTCACATAGAAGATGGAGTTTTTTACGGGCTATCTTCTGATATCATAAAATTCCTGAGGAACCCCATTTTTTAATTCAAAGATCAAAATACTTTTAAAAAAACGCAAAAAAAAACATGAAAAAACATGGTAGGAAAAACCACACATTTCTTCATTAAAAAATCATCGTATTAACCCTTTTTTTCCTATAAAGTGCTCTTCCTTTTGACAACAACCAATAATATATTAATTCGTGGAATAATGCTTTAGTTTTACAATATATTAAAAAGTGTCAAAAACAAATGATCATTTTGCATTATTACTCTATAAGGCCTGTTACCATGACATACGTCATAATTCAATGAATCATTATCAGATCGAGTTAATATTTCGGATTTAGTAATAGGGTGGGTGTGGGTGTGGGTATTGCCTCTTTCCACTCACACACACACACCCCACACCCATACCCACACACCCACATGCACATCCTTGATCTGTCATATTGTACTCGTATTCTCTGAATAAATGATACTTTCATAAAGTATGATATGTAAAATGAAAATTCAGAGAGCAATTTTAGTATGTAATGTTGCTTTCGTGGATGAGAACAGGCTATTTTCAATTTTTATATATTATTATAAATAAATAAAAACTTCATCTAAAGAAGCAAACTAATGAAGATATTTAAAATTTCTTATAGGTCTTGACGGTAATAACTGGTCGTCCAAAACAAATATTAATAAAAACAAAACACTTTATATTTCAGAAAGGTAAAATCGTTATAATATTCAATTATGTATATTTCAATTTTAACATAAATGTTCATTTCAGTGATACTGCGTTTAACACACTTTCTGGCGATAAGAATCGTATAGATGATAAATCTGGTTAGTATAAAAAACAGGTTTGAATGCTTTTTCTTTCGTTGCTGTCATCATTGACATTTTGTTTTATTGTTTAGCTTTGATATTGATTGCTCTATTATTCGCTTGTCTGATACAAACAGTCAAACTCATGATAATCGAGTATTAATAAACACAGTTGATCAGATGCACACGGCTGATATTCTTAGTTTAATTGAATATCGAGAATTAGAAAAAGAAAACAAAGATTTATCAACTAGAATAGATAATTTAAAAGAAGTTTTAAAAAAATGCACAAAGAGCGAAAGAAAATAAACGCAACCCATATGTATTAGTTATTCATAACATATCATAGATTTTACTAATCAGTTTTCTCGCACTTTGTTTTTGAGAAAAATGCTTATACTATCATTTTTACACTTTATAGTATATTACAGTTCCACTCCGAAGTATTATAAGAAGCCACTTCCAATCTCACTCATCACTGTTATTATTGAATATTTCTTCGCCATACTTTATTTTATTTTTGATATTTTATTTTGAAGTACTAATAGCGAGCTCTTGGAAAGACAGAAACCTGACCATTTAATGTGTTTTGCTAATTCTTCAAATAACACGTTTAACTTGTTTTCTGTATATCTTTATAATGAAACTTCATGTATCTTTTTATAAAAAAAATTGGCTTTATTTATGGATTCATATAGCTATTTGTATAAAGATGATGATTGAGCAAGTGTAACGAGATGCTGATAGGACCAGACAAAGTCGCTATGAGCATTTGATGAATGTCACACACAAGAATGTTGACTATTCGTTGAATCTGTCAAAAATGTACTACCATAAACCACTTAAAATATCCATAGTAAATCAGTTAGTTTCACAAATATATCAAATAAAATTTCACATAACTGATCTTTCTCTTGAATATGAGCATTTTATCGGAGTAGATAATAATAAACTATCAAGACTTTATATTAACTACCAATTTCACTATCGAACACAAAACATTTTTAATGCTTTTTCATTTTAGCATTTGCATTCTCTCTGTTGTATATCGCTTTGAATTATTAACGGGAATGAAATATCTGATTTTAAAGTGAAGTACCAACAATAAAACATGACGAATGCACTCATACTTCAGATTCGTTTTTAAATTCGGAAATAGAGCAATATGTATTTGAAAATAGTGATAATAAAGATATATTTCGACTCCACTATGATCATATTAATAAATTTAAAGATGATGCTTCACATTGATTTTATGGTGATGATGTGGAAGAAATTTCTGAAGTCCAGTATAATTGATTCAATAATGACTTTGAAACTGAACGAACTCGAAATGCTATTGAACTTTTAGTAATGTTAATTTTCGTTTGGAGAAGGTATTATATGATAGAAGAAGCTGCCGAAAATGATATTTGACTAATATAACATACTTTCAATATCTCGCATGTACCAAAAGATTTTCACGAACTGATGTCTCATATAAAAAAAATACAATCCTACGCCGCTTCAAGGTAACCCTTTATTAACTTGTCCAACCTGTTCCAGTAAAGGTTTAAATGCTTCAAAATGCAATCTCTGTGGATGTGGATCTGCTTCAACTTACGTTTGTGCATCAACATCGGTTTTTACTTGCCGTCTCGTGCCTCAAATCAATTCGATTCTTGAATGGAAAATTTTGTATCACCGACATATGTATTTGATCAATGTCATGATGCATGAAACTCTCGACGTTTATGGATTACATATACTTGAATAAATACATCAGCTCAACGTAAACGTTTCGAAATTTATAATATGTTAATGTGTCTAGATCAGAATCAAATTTCAACTTTATGAAAATTAATACATGAACGAGCTAAACAATAGATGATGAAAACTGGGATATTCTCAGAAATATAAGGGAGCAAAAGTAGTCGAACGTTTTTAAGAAATATTTTATTTTCTATTATTGTTAAAAAATAATTTGTCATTCTGATAATAAATCAAAACGGTCTGTAAATAAAAATTAACACATAAGATCATTTTATATAAACACAAATTATCGGACTAAAGATCTTGCGTTTAAACGCGTTGAATTACTTTACATAAACGAGAACTAACGAGTTATTGTCCAACATAATAAAACCTGTTCATAAAAATACGTATAAAAATGTTTTCTTGACGAATCTTTTTTCGTTAAATCGCGATGTTGTCTTTGAACATGGGAAAACTTGTGAAATTTACAGTACAAACTAGTAAAAATTCATGAATCGAGGAAAGTTTTACATGCTTTGAAGGGTTTTTTTCAAGATTTTTGTTTGAATGGATAGTTAAGTATATGATAGATGTGGTCTCATCGATGGTAAGGTGGATGAAAGTTAGGATAGGAATCCTTATTAGAATTGGGTGGGTGGACTATTAGTTTTGAGATCCTTCGTGCAGGTTCTCGTTCATCAAGATCTTCTGAATAGGGTGTAAAAGCTCAACTCGGAATCATCTTTGTATACGTGGTACACGAGCAGACATTTCAAATTCATATATGTCATGTGTACGAGTCTGCTCTGTTCGTGTATGCCTGCAGGCTGCCACAACGACACCAATGTGGGTTCTGGTCACGCATGCGTGAATTGAATATGAATGATATTTATTCTTCTTCGAACAACCTTTTGTTTTTATTTACAGTTATTTATTTGATCGGATGAAAACACATTAAATCATGCTAATCAGTCTACACAATAGGATACTGTAGAACTCGATCATTCCCACAATCGGCGACATAGAGATTGCGATGCCGATCGAAGGCCAAACCCACGGGACCATTCAACTGATTTGTTCCTTGTCCTCGACCATTTCCACCGACAACGATAGTACCCTGTTTCGCTCCTTGAGGCCAGCACATCACTCGATTATTAAATGAATCTACCACATAGACAGTACCTAACTTATCGACGAAGAGTCCTTCGGGCTGCGACAGTTGTGTCAGAGCTTGCCCTTGACCTTGGCCTCCAGCAACGACAATTCCTGCTGTTGCACCTTTATTCCATTTCGTCACACGATGATTGTGACGTTCCGACACGTAGACAGTCTGGTGTTGATCGACAAAAATGTAAGTTGGAGTGCTGAGTTGATTGAGATCAGTACCTTTGCCATTGCCACCGGCCACGACAGTTCCCTTCTTGTCCCCCAATTGATACCGTCTGACTTCATGGTGTTTTGTGTCAGAGATATAAAGATTTTTTTGATCGTCCATAGCCAATCCATAACAGCGGACATCTTCGAGAAGGATTTCTCCTTGATTTGTGTCATTCTGTCGAGACCATCGTAGGAGTCGTCGATTATCTCCATCACAGATAATGAAACTATTAGTCGCTTTGTCGATTATCACATCGGTTGGTTGATTTAATTGATTCAATCGATTTCCTGGACCACGGTCACCAGCCATCATTTTTCCATGCTGATCACCCACTTTCCATTGAACGATACGATCGTTGCCATTATCAGCGATGACCATTGTTTGATCATCATCAACGAAGAGACCGTGAGGAAAGCAGAATTGAACGGAGGTATGGCCATTTCCATAGCCTCCAGCAACGACCACTCCATCCTGTGCCCATTGAACACTAACTGAAGTATTGGATATTACTACAATAAACAAAAAAGAAAGGAATCATCGTCGTTGTAGAAAAGATTCTCTCTCATTAAAAAGTGTCTAAAACAATAGCAGCAGAAGATAAGATTTAAAACTAGAGCACATAATAATAGATAGTTCTATCGATTTGTTTCGAACTGTCAACTATTTCGAACATGTAGAACGGTGACTCGATGAGCAAAAATCAAAAAACATTAATTTTTATATATGATGCTCGTTTCAATATAGTAGACTTTCTTTTGATGAACTTACCAGTAGCATTAGGTGGTTGATTAACATTAGAATTGGGAATTAATTGCTGTGGATTTTTGAGTCCGGAAGCTTTTTGATGTTGCTGAATACTCTTGTCATGTCCATGGTTCTGTGATGTCAACTCTATTTTAAAAAATAATGTAAAGCTTCAAATTTCAACGAATTTCTATTCTAATAAATGTGATATTAATAAAAGAATGTAACAATAAACTATTTAGGTCTTTATTATTCAACAAATATTAGTTAACAGAAGTAGATAATGAAACAAAAGTTTAAGAAAACTGTAACTTGGTCTTCAACATTTTTTGAACATAGAAGAGAATTAAGCATTCAAATGAGTCACCAACAACTATCCTTTACTTTACTTGCAACTCAGCAAAAAATTTTGATAATCAACTATCTATATCTTTTAGAATAACTTCTGAAAAACACATAGTCGTTGAATATACAGAATGTTTCAAAAGTCCAGCAGAAAAGTAAATTCATATAACTCCACAGTTTATCAGACTCAATCGATTTATTTTATTTTTACATGATAGGTACCATTGTGAAGTTTTTATATATACGAACGAACTTTAAAAATATTGTTCAAAGTTTTTCATTTTCAACTGAAATGCAAAAATGACTCTTTTTCCGAATTCAGAAAAAACAACACTGTACTGTGTTTCTCTTTGAATACTCCAGTTTCTTGCTTCTTTTTGTAGCATTTAAACAGCCGGATCTTGCGCTATCGTTTATATTCAGTACAATAGATTATCACTTGATGAACTTACGAGTAGCATTGATTGGTTGATTAATATTAGAAATGGGAGCCGATTGCGGTGGGCTTTTGAGTCCGGAAGCTTTTTGAGGCTGTTGAATACCTTTGTCATGTCCATAGTTCTGTGGTGCCAACTCTATTTTAAAAAATAATGTAAAGCTTCAAATTTCAACGAATCTCTATTCTAATAAATGTGATATTAATAAAAGAATGTAACAATAAACTATTTAGGTCATTATTATTCAACAAATATTAGTTAACAGAAGTAGATGATGAAACAAAGGTTTAAGAAAACTGTAACTTGGTCTTCAACATTTTTTGAACATAAAAGAGAATTAAGAATTCAAATGAGTCGCCAACAACTATCCCTTACTTTACTTGCAACTCAGCAAAAAAATTTAAATATTTAACTATCTCTATCTTTTAGAATAGCTTTTGAAAGTTACATAGTTGTCGAATATATATTGAGTTTATACCTATGAGCTATACTTTCATATATAACTCATTAGAAAATTTTAGAACACATTGACTATAATCATTTTGTTTAGTATTTACTAGCAGTTTCAATAAGAAAAAAAATAATGATATCCGCATTCACTTAAATAGTTTATTCTTACGTAAGAACTTCTTCGATTCACTCAATATTATAGTATTACGATATAGAAATATAGAAAGGAAGAAAGAAATATTAGTGCTATGTGAAATAAAAACTGTCTAAAACAATGGTAGCAGAAGATAAGATTTAAAACTAGAGCTCATAATAATAGATGGTTCTATCGATGTATTTCGAACTGTCAACTACATCGAACACCTAGAATGGTTACTCGATGAGCAAAAATCAGAATTTCTTGATGAGATTCATAATGAATTTTGACAAACTTTTCTTTTCTGAATTTTCATAATTGTGTTTTTCTTACTCAAACATTAATTTTTATATATAATGCTCGTTTCAATATAATAGACTTTCTTTCGATGAACTTACGAGTAGCATTGGTTGGTTTATTAATATTAGAATTGGGAGTTAATTGCTGTGGATTTTTGAGTCCGGGTGCTTTTTGAGGCTGTTGAATACTCTTGTCATAGTCTGGATTCGGCGCTGCCATCTCTGTTTCAAAAAATAATGTAAAACTTCAAATTTCAACAAATTTTCTACTCTAATAAGTGTAATATTAATAAAAGAATATGACAACAAACTATCTAGGTCATTGTTATTCAAAAAATATTAGTTAACAGAAGTAGATGATGGAAAAAAGATTTAGGAAAACTGTAACTTGAGCTTCAACATTTTTTGAACATAGAAGAGAATGAGCCTTGTTCGAAATTCGCTTGTTGGTCAAGAACACGTAAAAAAATGGTCACTGACTATCTTATTTATTGCTGAGGGCGTCTTTTCTCCTTCATGTTTCCTTTTAAATTGTTTTGCTAGCATGAGTTTATACCTATGAGCTATACTTTCATATACAACTCATTAGAAAATTTTAGAATACATTGACTATAATCATTTTGTTTAGTATTTACTAGCAGTTTCAATAAGAAAAAAAAATAATGATATCTGCATTCACTTAAATAGTTTACTCTTACGTAAGAACTTCTTCGATTCACTCAATATTATAGTATCATAACATAGAAATATAGAAAGGAAGAAAGAAATATTAGTGCTATCTGAATAAAAACTATCTAAAACAATGGTAGCAGAAGATAAGATTTAAAACTAGAGCTCATAATAATAGATAGTTCTATCGATTTGTTTCGAATTATCAACTATTTCGGACATCTAGAACGGTCACTCGACGAGCAAAAATCAGAATTTTTCGATGAGATTCATAATGACTTTTGACAAACTTTTATTTTCTGAATTTTCATAATTGTGTTTTTCTTATTCAAACATTAATTTTTATATATAATGCTCGTTTCAATATAATAGACTTTCTTTTGATGAACTTACTAGTAACATTGGTTGTTTGATTAATATTAGAATTGGGAGTTAATTGCTGTTGATTTTTGAATACGAGAGCTTTTTGATGCCATTGAACACTCTTCTCATAGTCACGACTCTGTGATGCCAATTCGCCAAGTTCATCATACAAATTACCGAGTAAAGGATCGTTTGGTGAAAATTCTTTCAAAAAACGAGTAAAATATTGCTCAGCTAAATCAAGTTTTCCCATTGTCCATAATACTTTTCCTAATGTTCGAAGAGTTGTTTCTCCAGTTCCAAGTTGTTGTTTCATATGTTTGAGAACATTTTTTAAATCATGTTCATTCTCACTACACAAAGTCATTTGAATAATCCATAATCGATCATCACTACTACGATTGACACTGTTCAAGCGAAAAATCGAACCAAGCATAAAGAGTACTTCAGATTCTTCACTATAGTCACTAAGTTTACTGATATCAGCAAATGGTTTTGTAGTGGCCGCATTAGGATCGGCAGTAATTTCAAATAATACTGGTTCTAAATTATCTTTGACTTGATGAATTTTGAGAAATGCAAGAGCTGCTGTATACTGAGCACTTGTAGAAAAAAATGAATTCACTGAAACAAACTGACCCATTGATTGTTTTAAAGTTTCAAGTTCATCACTTGATATCATCTGACATCGATAAACTTGTAGTTGTTGTGTAATTTGATATTTTTTCAATTGATGATAGATATCAGAGATAAATGAACGAAATAAAAAAATCATATGAGATTTTTCGTTGCGTAGAACTGCATTTAGAGTATTGTAAAAGAATGATTCTCGTGAATACCACCATAAGACTTTATCAGGTGAATAGGTCTTTTCAAATTCGCTAATATTTTTTAACTCAGTACTATTACCTTCATATTGTTGTTTACAACGATCAATAAGTTCAATTTTATCTGTTTCAGTTGATTTTAATCGTAGAAGACAATCGATAAAAACTTGTGAAAAAACAAATTTACCATTTACACCACTTGTTGATTTACCTTTGCCAAAACTTGTAGTAAAAATATTAATTGCTAATGGTTCTTCCACTTTTCTCTGAGTTTTATGATCAGCTTTTATTCGAGTAATGAGTCCATCAAGATCAACAACAACATCTTTTATCTATCAACAAAAAAATAATAATAATAATAACATGAAATCGAAATCATTCAAGATAATTTTACTTTTGAAAATTTGTTAGCCCATTCTTTGTTACTTTTCTTATCCATACAATAAACATAAATCGATATAACTTGTCGAAGTTTATGAATAGAAGGAACTAGTTCTCGTCCCAATCGACCACTAGCAATGATTACTAGTCGATCTTTTTGAGATCGTCGTTCAATATATTTTCGACATTGTTCAACATCTTGAAATTTCTTGAAACGATTAATAATAGAACGTAGTTTTTGTTCTGTATCTCGAAAATCTTTAACGTTCACATTAGCATCGAGCCAAACAAGACAGAAAATTTCAAGATTTGGATCATCGGCATTTGTCGGAATGTCATCATGTGGTAAAGTAGCCGTAGCCATTTTAATCAAGAAGACTAAATAGAATAGAAATTTTGAATATTGCCTATTCAATATACCTATCTAATTTATGAATGTTTTTTTTTTCGGTAATGGAAAACAGATGTTAAACTGTCACTGGAAGATATCAATACGTCAACTTTCTAAAAATTAATTATTTTCATTGAATTTTTCATCTCTTTGATAGACAAATATGAATTTTAGTTTCCATTTTCTAAACATTATTAAAGATCTTCGATCGAGATTATTCTCATTAAGAGTATAGAACATTTTTCTTTCTTAAAATCTTTTATCATATTGAAAAAAATATATTACAAAAAAGATTAATCTTTGTTATGACTGAATGGAGAAATCGTTCTCTTCATATATATGATATCTATTCCTAAAGAGAAAGAATCTTTTCTAGATAAGAAATGTTTCATATTATATGTATAATACATTGCGAGAAATTCTGTTGTTTGAAAAGAAAAATAAACGAATATATCGATCATATTTATAAATCAAAATTGTATGGGATACTGCTACTATTTTAAAAAGATTGAGATATGCTTCGATCGGAAAGAATCAATGTTTTTTAATACAAGACAACAACTGGCATTTTCTTCTTTTTTCTTATTAAAACTCAACTTTAGATGGTGACTGTTGCCATTAATCTTAGACGACTCGAATAGAGAGAAAGAATTGTTTTTTTTCCCTGTACACATCATCAGGCAAGTTCATCTTCTTTTGTTTATATTGTCAAGAACCTTTTTGATAAATGTTCTATGAAACAATAGAAAAAATCTTCTTAGAAGAAATTTATTTTTGAGAATTCAAAAAAATATATCACAGTATGTCTAGATTATTTTATCATGAGAGATGCAATATGCTTTGTTATTTTAAACTCTCATTTCGATCAAAGATTCATTCTTATCTGAAGAAAGTACAAAATGTTTTTTCTATAGCTCTCGCAAACAGAAATCAAGAGAACAACTTAGGTAAATGAAATCTTTAAAAAAGACCCTTTGATAAGAAATACGTTAAGAATAGATGAATCCGTTAAAACACGTCAACTCTTTTTTACGAATTCTTCTAACGACTTCTATAAGTTTTGTCACCTTCATTATTTCACACCTTACAACTTTGACAGCTATGCAACATTTTAAAATGTACAGATTTTATGATTTTATTTCTGTTAAGGTTTAAATGTGCTTTTAGTTTTTTATTGCTCGTAGTCATAGATTCTTCAAGCTTCACCAGACATATTCCTATATGATCCGAAGCTTTCCATTCTCAATGAAATGCATATAATGTCTTCTATGGATTTCTCTGAAAATTTACTCGAGTCCTGATATAGAAATATATGAGATAGAATTCACTATATATTTCTAATATCTTTACATCTCCTATATCTCTAACATACTCTTGAACAGATATATTAATATGTGCCCAATTAATATAATGGCGTATACAAATTGGATTTATTATAAATACAGGCGAGTGTTAGAACTATAGGAACAATGTTTAACCAATGAATTACAGTATCTCTGCACGTAAATCTCAGTCAATCTCAAACTTATTGTGATCATGTTCACAGACAAATGTCAGACTGAAGTCACCTAATCTCTCCCTTACACTTTGCTATGTAACGCAAAACATTACGGTTACATGCTGATATCTTGTGTTACAATTCAAAGGCTTCCGGTCTCACTTTTGTTTTTATTGCTGTGTGATCTGAAACACGTCAGACTGACTGTGAGACAATGCTGGATAACGCAAAGCTTTCTAACTTCATCTTCACCGACATAAAGACTTTACGATTCTATCGATAGCACTTTTATACCTTTTGTTATTGAAATTTTAGTTACATTATGCTGATAGTTTAACGCTCATCTATTGATGAACTGAACATGATGAATAGCATTAGAAAAAAAAGTAAGAAAACTGATTATGTAATATATCAAAATTGTCAATGAATTAATGCTAATTAAAATAATAAATATGAGATGGAGACAGAAAACTGATACAAGGAGACTACTAACTAACAAATATTTATCAATCGATTGTCGGAAAAAAAACATTGATCATTGAGATCGACTTCATATCTGTCTCAAGCGTGTCTAATATGCAAATCATATTCATCTTATGTATGCATTATTTAATAGGCTTTTTCCTACTTTTGACATTATTCTAATAAGTTACTCACCAGAACGAAATAAACAAAATCTTATATACGAAGAATTTTTTGTGTTGTGTATATAACACTATCTTCTTGTCTGATCAAACGATTTCTTTTTTTTACCTTTGCAGCACGACAAACTTACCATTTTTATCGTATACTATTTTGCCTGTTTGTTTTTCTTTTATTTTTTCGATTGGATATTTTCATTACACACTACCTACACAAAATGCACACGTTGTGCACAAAATGATATGTACATGAGCAATGTAGATACAATCAATATTGCATACGAAATAAAAATCAAAAAAGAAATTTATACATTAATAGATATTGAACAGCAAAAAGAAGTAGAAAAAAAAATCGATTTTTTTATTTTACAAGTCATAATATATTATATTCATATATATATGTCTATATATACATATATAGACATATATATATATTTATTTATTTATTTATATATGTATGTTGCATCAAAGTTACACCAATCGATGAAGTTATAACTTCGTCATGCAATAATGAATCAGCGAAAACTTCGTCATGCAATAATGACTAAGAGAAAACTTCGCCATTCAATAATGACTAAGTGAAAATTTCGTCAATGAATAATGAGTAAATTACAACTTCGTCATATAAATATGACAAAGTTATAATTTCGACGTAGAATTTCCTCAAAGCTATTTTTAATACACTTATCAATAAATAATTTACTAAATTGAATATCCTACTATTGAATGTGTGATCAAAACTAAACTTCTGCTAATAAATATATATTTATTTAATAATAAAGATTATTTACAACTTATTAGACAGAAATTGAAGTTTATCACTTTAAATTTTCTTCATCTCTATTTGAATTGATTTTCGGAAAATTCAAAAATAGAGCAAATTCTTGCAAATCATAGATTCTAGTCCTATTTAAAATATCACATGAAGATAAACGTGAAAAAAATTTCTGTAGGATAAGAGACTAGTTTCTTAGTTTATCAATAAACTGAAGTCTCTTGAAAACTTTTCATGAGTAAATGTACTCATCTCTGATATCTGTAACTATAAAGTATACAAAATGATCCAAAAGTTTAACTGGCAATCAGTCTTTGATTTTGAATAACTTTTGATAGGAACAAGATAGAGAGCTGCGGCTTTCATCATTCGAAAGAGAGTGTGTTACTTAACGATCTTGTCTGATAATCAAATGGTGAATCTTCGGAAAAACAGTAATAGCTCTATGAAGATGGCATAAAAGTTCAGTTCCAAGAAGTCCACTAGGTCTGCGTACCTACGATCCACGCTCATGCCCAAAACTTTTATCTTGTTTCATTCAAAACTTATAGATGAGGCTGTGAGCGTGGATAGTAAGTACGCAGGTTTAGCCACAGCTCTCTATCTTGTTCCTATCCAAAGTTATTCAAAATCAAAGACTGGCTGCCGGGTAACTTTTGGACCACCCGGTATGCTAATAACACCAAGTTTAAGCCAATAAAGTTAATTAAAAATTCAAATACAATGACACTAATGAGATTATAATCAGTAAATCTATTTTAATTATTGTATGATAAATATATATATGAGTGGAAACGACGTTGTATACTTGTTTGACAATATAAGTATAAAACGAATTATTATCCATCACCAATACTCAAGTTTTTACTAAATGATAACATTACCTGTATCATCTCCTGCTATAATAAGCAAATGTAAATGTGATAAAAAGAAAATAGAAGCATATTCACTAATAACAATTACTTCATCAATAAATTCACATTCTTTAACAACAACAACACTTAGTATCACAGCTCGGCAGCATGTGGTAATAAATAATGCTAAATGAGTTATAACTTCGTCACATTTATATGACGAATTTGTAATTTCGTCAATATTGCACGACGAAATTATACCTTCGTCGACCGGTGTAATGTCGATACGACATATATAAACAAAAAAGCAGCAAAAACAAAACCTTTTGATAGTTATTTTCAAATACAATCGATATCGAGTTATTACAATCGTACATATTCATCTTTGTATACTTTGAACTTTTTGTTCATGAAACAAATCTAGTTTAATAATATTATGACATCAAAAGGATTGAATGCTTAATAACAATTATGTCTAATTTAGTATATACGATAAATATGTACACGTTTGTTTATAAATGAATACTTCAATTTACTCAAGGAAATCTTTTTGCACAACCTGCATGAATTAGAAATATTATAATACAACGATCTAAAAAACAATTCTCCATGTCTGCCAGCACAAGAATGATATTAGCGTTGATAATTGCTAATGTTTCTCTGTAATCCATGGTGGATCATTACAGATTATAAGAGAAACCTTAATGAGAATGTGGAAGTGAGTATGAATGTTATAGTCAGTTTTTCTATCGTCCAACAATACATCACATCCACACTTACATCTGTAAACACTTAAACGACATTTTCTCAATTTATTTATTTTTTTGTTTAAATTCTATTCGAAGATACAAGTTAACACATCTGCATTCAATCGACATTGTATATATGAGAAGAATGGAAACGACGAACTCGGTATAAAAATCACGCCATTGTTATAAGACGTTCTACGAAATCTGAATAAATGTAAATTAATGTGAAGTTACTAATTATTTAAGAATAAGACTAATGTGTTTTTTGAACAAAAAACAATCCATTTCATCTGACATCAGGTATGTTGTTATCCTTCATTTTAAGGTTCTCATCACTAATTGAAGACAAGAGTAAAGTTCTGTTGATGATAAAAATCTCATGGTTTACTGAGATTGTATAGATTAGAGTAAGACTTGACAAAAAAATTCAATAAGATTCAAGAACGTCAATTAAACAAGATGTTTGAAATTTCGATCCAAATTCTACTTACTAACATTCGCAGACTCTCTGTCACATAAGTCAAATTACTAATGGATGATAGACGAGTGACTAAATGAAACTAGTGTCAAAATTCAATGAAGCTTTTGAAGTTTTGATGCTAATCTTTACTTTTCTTAGTTTCAAGATCTGTAAATAGTTAATCATATTGTCGATCAAAATTTCAATTCAAATGATTTCAAATTGAAGGAACAGCCTTTTCTTCATAGTCATAACAAAAGAAATGTTTGAGCAGTAGTTGTTTATTAAATCGATCGAGAAAAGTGATCTTTGTGCACGTGTTACACATTCTGATATTTTATTTTTTTCGTATATGAATACTGTCACTTTGTGACGAGTTTGCTAACATAGTTGTTTTTTTTTGTCAAATTCTGTATATTTATAGCTGAACATGAATGCATTGTTGCAAATCAAAGTATTCCAAGCTAATTTCTGTAGGCTTGAGAAAAGAGTATAAGTTCGTGCTTGAACCGACAGGAAATCGACTGTTGTTTCAGATGGATTGTCGAAAATCAAGAATTCCATCTTTCCTCCTATAAAAGATGCTGCTTGGGTGTTCGCACTGTAAAATACATAGACAAGTTTAGCCCATTCACTTGATTGAAGTTATTTGAATTTTATACCCATGACAAGCTTTCATTAGGTTGATGTATAGGTCGATATTCAAGTATAATTGAACTGTTTGTTCACCACTTTGTTCAATGATCGAAAATGAAAAGAAAAACTGAATTTAATTAACACCCAAATAACTTTCAATTTGTTTTAACAGATTAGATATTTGATCTTTATGAGTATTTGTTGAAATCTTCTCGTTCATTGAAATTCCCATGCTTTCTATTCATATATATATATACGACATAATTTGAAGAGATGAAAATTTTGAAGTTGTCAACTATTATCATTGGCAATCATTTTTCATTTTACATCGTATTAATGTTTTTTTCGAAATGGTGGTTTCTTTACTAACACGATAGATCTGGTCGTAAACACGCTATAGTAACAAGAAAAGTTTGTAGTGAATGACTCTATTAGATATAATAAAAAATAATATAACGTGTTCTCGATATCGTTACTCATCTATAACGTAGAAAGTAAAAAGAACACGTAAACGATAGAAAAGAATGCAATAATTCAAATATTTTTTCTTTCCTATCACATGGAGCTATCGGTTGTTTTTTTTTGTCGAAGCAACACGTTTTTCAACATGAAACAACCATATTTTTGATGGTTTATACAGGTGATAGGCCATTCAGAATGTTTGTTTTTTTTTGAGTGTGGGAAGACGTTTTACTACACTTGCATTTACATTCTAATATAGATTTCATTGTTTTAAAAAGTACGGACCATTCAAAACTGGTCACAATCATTCGAATATATAAAAAAAAAACATGACCATAGTCTGAATCAATGAACTGTGATCTTTAGCATCTCTTAACATATTTTCATGTTGCATGCAGTCGTTCCGTGATCAAATATCGAAAACTTGGTTATGCAGGACGAACAGATATAGTTGAGCTTGCCGCCTATGATGGGAATTAGGTTGTCCATCGGTTAAGTTTTGGATGAGCTAATTCAAATCTCGGTGTATGTAGTTACTTGTGTATTATTGAGTATACCGTAGAAAATATTAGATCAAATATATGCAAAACAAAAAACAGAAAACGACAATTCAATCATTTATCGTTTCTACGATTTGAAGCTATTGTTCATCATTGTTCAAACAATACTCCGTTCACCTTCGCACAATCCCGTTCTCATGATTCATACTAATTAGCAAATAAAAATACGTCTTTTAGATTTCGAAAATAGCAAACTTATCATACTCTTCTTTCGTCGAATATAAAAAGACTAACTACTAGATTCTGCGCTCATTTCTTAATGCAGATTGCATTATTTTGAAATAATCTTTGATAGTTATCGACTGTACATTTATACAAAGAATTTACTAATGCTTGAGAAATTAATAATTCACGCGTTGTAATCAAAGCAAGTGATGATTTTGATTATCGTACATGCCACTATGATTGTGACACTTTTTATTTTGCATAGATCTCAGTACAGAACAATAATATAATCTAGAGTTTCTTTTTAAAACATATGCTATTGTATTCTCTATAAACTGGAGGCCGAAATCGAATCAAATATAGATTATGTTGAATGAAATCGAACTAAATAAAGTTACCAAATAGAGAAAATTAATTAGAAGATACTATTGAATTTGTGTGCCCACGTGAGAAAAATGAGAAGAAGAAAATAATTCACTTTCAACAAAATACTTTTTGGCAAAAATGTCATTCAACGAAAAACATAGGATTCTATTTAGACTTCGAAAAAAGTTAATTGATCTCATAAATAATCATATTTCACAAACTATTGATATACTCATACCATATCAACATGAAAATTTGGAAGTTATCATAATTTCTATTACAGCAATTCAAATCATCCGATCGAAAATATTTCACTTTACAGAAAATTTTCCTAAAACTATCAGAACAGCGAAAATAAATTTCTTAGCGATTTTCATTAGTATGCTTAGAGATCAAGGAAATTTTCAAGTCAATTTTCATGTTATTGAGATATTAATGCGATGCTTCCACATAACATTGATGATAAGTTCTGATCAAAAAAAGAAATTTTCAATGATTCTTAGAAAATCTCAATATCGAAAACAGAAATTTCTGCTAACAATGCATCGCGACATAAAACTTTACGATAGTCTTCATACGAATATCAGTTAATATAGTGAAGCTACTAGCAAACTTAATCAATCAGAATGCATATTTAAAATAAAAGAAAATATTTTCGAATTAAATTATTTATTTATCTTATAAATCTAATCAATTTTAAAATTATAAATTTGCAGTTTTTGCTAAGAGATGAATAGCATACTTTGTATTTTCTTCGTGCTGTTTTAGTACTTCAATATACTTTTTCACATTAACACTCAAAAGTACGAAATCTTTACTCCTTGAAGAAGTGTAAAATAGCATTTTGAATTTTAAAGAATGAAAAATGGTAGCAACACGCACACACAAATGTAATGAGATATAATACATGCACCATATATCCTTAACTCCAGTGTTAGTCTTGAAGAACTTATTCGAATTTTCATTCTAACTACATAAAATACTACGGATGAATTACTCATGAAGGGTGCAGAAGATGCTTCAGACTAGTCAAGTTTTTAATGGTCTAGCACATGGACGAGCATCTTTCTGCTATTTGGACTATTTAATGGTCTGACGTTAGGACACCCGTCAGATATTAAATACTGTCCGGTCGGATGTTCGAATTCACCTTTTGTCTTCTTTTTTTTACTCTTTTTCTGTTCTGTGGATTAATCTGGACGGGGTAGATAGACAAATGGACTATACATGACGAGATTCAAGGATGTTCTGAACTAGTTCAGACATGATTGCAGGACATTTCTTGTCATGACAGGCATGTGAGGTGTTTCAGACTAGTTATGTCGTCCATCTTCACTTGTTTTTTTTTCTTAGGTAGATCCCGGTACGAAATCAATTTCGGAGCCAACTAAAGCTTTTGTCGAAAATTCAGCTTTAACATATAAACTCGTTTTGAATAGTAGGTTTTTTTCTCTGATATTTTCTATACAAACTAATGCATTTTGAAGGTCCCAGCAATGTCTTAAGGAAGCATCCAAGCACGAAATAAAGTTGGAGTCAAATTTAACTTTGATTTTCTTTGACTCCGACTTTCTCTCGTGCCGATAAGCCTTAATAAGACGTCGTTTGAATCTACAAAATGTATTACTTTCTATAGAAAATATCAGACAATAATATCTACAATTCAAAAAAGTTCACATGTTAAAACTGAATTTTTGACAAAAAATTTACTTAACTTCATGTAAGGTTCTATTTGCTACAGTCTTGAATTAAATCTATGCTTTTCAGTACGTGTTCGAATAAATGCTTCAATATTTTCCTTGAATTATACACGATGACTACGACACAACTATGGGAATTAATACCATCTGCAACTAACACTAGATGTGTAATGATATATATATATATGCCATTATCTGTCATACATGTATTCTCTCAAGCGACTAGTATGCAGCAGCAGTATCTTCTATTTCTGCTCTTCATTTCTCTCTTCATCATTTCTTACATCAGTGGCACTACCACATTACCCAGAATCCTAGTCGATCCAAGCACACATCATTTTGTCGATGAATATGGACGGGTACGTTTGTTTCATGGTGTCAATGTTGTCTATAAAGTACCGCCTTTTCTACCTAATCTCACTGATTTCGATCCACAAAATTCTCTTACTACGGATGATTTAGCCAATCTTAATAAATGGGGATTCAATGTTATACGTTTTTATGCAGCATGGATGGGTGTTTATCCACATTCCTCGACAGAAATCAATTATGAATATTTGATGCAATTATCGAAAGCTGTATCAATGATGGAGAATCACGGCATTTATACTCTTTTAGATTGTCATCAGGATATATTCTCAAGATTTTTCTGTGGAGAAGGAGTTCCTGATTGGGTAGCTATATTCGAAGGTAATCAAACACTTATGACATTTCCATTTCCATTGGCGTTAAACATAACTCGAGAACCGGATACAGGCTATCCGATACTTGAAGAATGTCTTAAACGGTCCTTCGGTCAATATTATCTCACAGAAGCAGTGACAAACGGATTCAAAATGCTGTGAGTAGACTCTATCTCAAGATCGCTTGTAGAAATACGCAAAGAAGCACAAGACTGTAGATTGAATCTCACTGAAATAAAAAAGAAATTTTTAGCATGTTCATTATAAAAGATAAAGATAAAATTTGAGATAAAGCCCTTTTCGTAACAGAAGATCCTGAATCATCTATTATGTTCATTCTTTAATAAAGATACACAAATGGTAATGGTACTCGTGAATCATTTGCATCTTTCTGGCGTACAGTTGCCAATCAATTTGCTAATCGTTCATCTGTTCTCGGTTATGAACTACTCAATGAACCATCATTTCCATCACTGGCAGATGTTTTGGAGATTGGTCGTGTTGATCAAGAATATCTTGCACCTATGTATAAACAGTTACATGAGGCGATTCGTCAAGTTGATGATCAACATCTCATCTTTTTCGAACCGTGCTCCTTTGATCTTCTAGAAACAGGTTTTACAGAAGGACCTGGTGGAATCGAATACAATAATCGACAAGTCTTTAGCTACCATATATATTGTCTGGATGTTAATAAACGAGGAGATCCAAAATCAGATCTAATTTGTGAAATCAACGATTTGATTTTGATGAATGCACGCATTGCAGAAGCACGCAAGAAGAAGTTTGGAGGTATGATGTTGACAGAATTTGGCGGCTTAAGTAATTCAACAGAAGGTATCAAAGAACTCAATCGTATTATGGAATTCGCCGATGATCAACTGCAAAGTAAATCACTACAAACTGTGATCATTGAAAATTTCTCTAATCTTTTCATTATCAGGTTGGTCCTATTGGCAATTCAAAAAATATGGCGACTTAACAACATCCGTCAGTCCAGCTACCACAGAATCCTTCTACACTGAAGATGGAAAGTTGGAAATAAACAAAGTACGAGCATTATCACGAACATATCCTCAAGCCATTGCAGGTGATAAATCTAATTTCTTCCACTTTTCTATGAATTCTATCTTTTTCTTTTTGCTTTCGTAATAGGTCTCCCGTTGTCTATGTCGTTTGATCCTACCACGGCTAATTTCGAATTACGTTTCATAATTAATACAGACATTGAAAAACCTACTGTTATCTATCTCAATGAAGAGTTCAATTATCCTCATGGCATCATTATCAACGTTACTCCATTAGATTCACTTGTATGGACATCTAGCATTCATAACTATTATGAATTCATTCCAGCTGCTTCTACTAAAAATCGTACAATGATTATTCTTCAAATTTTACCTCAGACTGAACACTGGTTTTACAAGATTTTAAATTGGATCAGAGAACATTGGTTTGTTTGAGATCGATTCGAATAAGAAAAAAAAAACAGTTTCATTATATTAGCGCTATATGTATTTTGCTCTATTGTGACAGAACATTTCTAAGTAGCTAAAGAATAATAGACGAACTATACCGTCATTTTTTCCTTGGCTGACTGTAAGACTGTGAATATGTATCTTTTCTTATCTGCCAATAACATCCACACACTCATTTGAATACACTTAACTATCTTGAAAAAGTACTAGAGTCAAATCATCCACATCTAGCTGGTCGTCATTTTCATATGTCAATTACTTTTGAAAGTTTACACAGATTCAATGACGCTTTTCGATATGCAACGACGGCCATCGATTATCAAATGCTAAGCATTTTTTTACATCCAAGGATCCGCACATGAAGAAGTATCAAGAGCAATTCGGTAAAATTCTTCTCTTGAGTCAATCCTGTAATGAACTTGTGCTTTAGAAACGGGCAGATGTCATTTCAAAAAACAAAAAAAAACAAAATGGGATTAAATTTTATGTTTTACTATTTGAAAAGAGATTTGTCTTATTGCATTGATTAATATGATATGAATTGAATTCTCTTCATGAATAAATAGAGCATATTGTTGGATATGAACTTCTACTAACGAGTCAATTCCATTCAGACATCTTCGTTTTCTCTTATAATTTGATTTCCACTGTATAGTGACTTATGAAAGAAAATTTTACTGTTTTTTATTGATACTTTATTTGTTGTAAAAGAAATAATGTATTTATTGTTATCTTTACTTTCAAGAAAAACACCTGAGGATGGAAATCTTCGATCGCAAATCAAATAAACAATCACTGAATATCAATACTTTCTAGTAGTTGATTTCCACAACGATCAGTATGTTGATCTAATAATCATAACTCGAATCTTTAGCATCATTATTGTGTTATCTAATGATAGAAAACTAGCTTTGATAGTTGTCGATCCTTCTTCAAATAATACATCTGTTTTTTTTCCGAACTCATATAATTAACTATTTGCCAAATTGTTCCATTAATTAGTACGTTTATTGATTATAAATGATACATTAACTATGTATAATCAGTAAATATGACTGAAAAGTAATGTCTGTTTTATTCGTCTATGATATTTTGAAATAATTCTATTACATAAATCTTTAATATCATTTCTATTTTCATTTGTGACGGTTTTGCTTTAACTTTGCCTTGCGTTTGTTTCCTCTGTAATGTTTTTCAATAGACTGTGCTTAATTTTACGACTTTATTCTATACAAGTAAAATGTCTCCCTCTTCTGCTTCCTTGAATTTACCAAAGGATTATAAAACGTTGATCCGTCAACAACATCTCTGATATTTTTAATACTTTGACACCCAACGACATATATATATATATATGTATGTGCTGGTATTTGGCTTAGAATACTGGCCACATATATCTGTCCTGACTGCAATATATCTCAATGTATTGTTGATTGCTTTAAAGACTATCATACAAAAATGAACTACTAATGTTTCTGTGACATAGACATGCAATTTCTATCAAAAAAATAAAAGAAAACCATGTTTAAAAATTTGGACTTTCGAAAAAAAAAGCCGGACGCCAAAAGATTAAACTAACATACATCAAATACAATTATAAATTTTTTAATCAACTGCTTTCAGTCACATAGTTTTAATATAAGATACATTTGTTTTTGTATATGGATTTTCTTCTCCAAAATCGCGTTACTTGTGGTATGGTCTATATACAGGGTTGTGCATAACCTTTTGCTAGGGAGGATACAGCTCGAACTTTAAAAGATATAAAAGTAAATTTTATACCAAATGAAAGCCCAGCGATAGTAGAACTTAAGATTATGACTGATATTTCATAGGATGATAATAGGCTATAGGATTACGAAAAGTTTCAAAAATTCAGGAATATTATTGGGTACTTTTATAGGTAGTTAACTACGATCTAGCAGACAAAGTTGTTGAGATTTTTTTCCCTATTTTGAGTCTAGCACTGTCATTTATTTATCAAATTTAAGTTCTTTTTACCAAAACGATCTCAGCAAAGAGAGCTCTACAAAGTCTGATAGACGAAAAAATTTTTTGAAGATCCTTGTGTTTTCCATGGTTGACTACTCATGCAAGTATTCAATTATATTTCTAGATTTTTGAAAATTTTCGTAATCTTATAGTTCATTATTATTTACATTCCTAAATTTCGTTTTCAATGGACTTTCATTTGGTAAAAAAATTTCCTTTTTGTATCTTTTCGTGTTCGAGCTGTACTCTTCTCTAGCAAAAGGTTTATGGACAACCCTGTAGCAAATAGTTCTCGAAGATTTTTGAATAAATATTTATACAAGTGAAAAATAACGAAACTAATTTTCTAAAAAATATTATTATGGATCATTTAAATATTATTGAAAATTAAAATAGCAATAGGTCAAAGAAAAATCAACTGAAAATATAATAATATTGAGTTTTTAGACATTTACAAATTTTGCTCGGATATTATTTGAATTCAATATTTTGGTCTTCGAAAAAAAAGAAACGATTAAATATTACACAAATAATCTTTTATTTGAAAAAAATCACATATTCACGAAGATATTTCATTTCATATGTTTTCTCAATTTCATTCTTATCTAATTTTACAAGTATTTTCTTCAATTCCAATTCTGGAGTAGATCTTGTTAATTCAGCTATAAATGGATTGAATGAAATGGTTAAAGTTTTTAAATTTTTAAAATATTTTAAGAATTTTATTATAGCATCTGCATACCAATCATAAATTTGTGTACTAAATCTCCAATCAAATTTCAATTGAAGATCTTGAAGATTAGAAAAATAAATATAATTTTGTTTTTCAAATTGTTCAACTATTAAATTTCCATCTAGAACTAATCGTTCAATTTTTTCATTTAATTTTAAAGTTAATTCACTTTTTAATAAAGGTAATTCTGTATGAATTAAAATTAAATTTTTTAAATTTGGTAATGAATTTATTAACCATTGTTTTTCATTTTCTAATGATCCACAAGTTAAATGAATAGTTGTTATACGATTTAAGATTGTATCCGTTTTATGTTGAATTATATGAAAATCTTCTATATTTTCAGAATCATTAAAATAATCAATGGATATTACAAGTAATTTTGGCATGTAGATTTTAATTAATTTTAAAAGATCTAAATTGAATGTTTTAAATTTAATATATTTAATATTGAACCATATTTTAGGATTATTTATTAAAATTTCTGAATTATTTGAATAAATATGATCAAAATCAATAAAATTATAGAGTTTATCAAAATGAAATGGTAATGTATATAAATATTTATCATGCATACCAATTATCCAATTATGATCAAACCAAAATTTATTTTGAAATGTTGATAAAATTCTTTTAAGATCAATTTTATCTTGAGTTAATACTGCATAAAGATGAAATTGTTTAAGTTTTATCATTAATTCTAAGAATTGTTGTTGAAGTTGAATACCATTAAATGGTAAATCATTTGATGATGTTATATAACAACCAATTAAATTTAATGATAAACAAAATAATGATGATGAAAATTGTGTTATAACATTTATTAATTGATGAAAATCTATTCGTCTAGCAGAAAATCTATTCGTTCCATACATTGTATCATTGAATGTTAAATAAAATTGTTCTAATTTAATTTTATTATTCAACCATTGATTTTGTCCATGATATGCATATGGTGGAATTGATTTAATATTTAAATATTTTAAATTAGGTGTATATTCAATAAGAGAAAATAAATCCATAAATTGTGTTAAATTTAATATTAATGAATGAAGATTTAAATTTAATTTTAAATTATTAATAGGTTTTAGTGACAATGATTGAATACAAGATGAATATTGAAATATATTCATAGAATTTTCATTATTAAATATTTTTTGTAATAAAAGATCTTGATTAATTGAATAATCATAAAATGATGGTGTAAAAAATAATTCATTTGATTTAATTTTTAATGAATGTAGTTTTTTAAATTGATCACTTTTTAGAATTGATTCTAATTGTTCTTCTGCTAAATTATATGATGAAGATATAATAATTGATTTTAAATTTGGAAATAATTTTAATGAAATAGATGAATCATATTTAATAATTTTTAAAGATTGAATTTTTGAACCAATATCTGATAAAATATTTTTCCAAAATATTGAATTTGATATTGGTAATTCTAAACTTAAATAATATTGATGTTGTAAAATTAATTTATTTAATCGTTCATTTAAATAAAAGAATGTATAAATAATATCATTACATGATAAATAATCAAATATTTCTAAGATTATTTCAGTTGGTAATTGTTCAAACCATGTATGTGACTTGAATATTCTCGTACTATTATTACCCATATTAATGGTTATTTTGTAACATCATGCAGGTTTGTCTAATAATAAGAAAAGATTGTTATCATATCATCATTCGTAAACAAATGATGATTCATATCAACTCTTTCACTTTTACATGAAGCAACTTCTTTTTTTTTTGATGATCCTCGATGATATGAAATATTTTTAAGATTGTCCAATATTTTTTTGTTAATTTGGAACAATTGTAAATAAAAAAATTAATATTATTATAACCTGATCCACAGAATATCACTATTTCATTAATACATTCAAGACTATTCAGTTTTTCTAGAAAATAACTCTAACAGATGCATCTTCATGTTCATTTATCTTCCAATAAATGAATTCGTTGATTTTTTCAGCATGTACTGCCAACTATTTTTCTCTTTTTTTTTTATATGTTTGTGCAGTAGGAACAAGACAACGAAATGAAATTTCGATTTATTAAAGCCAGATTTTCGTCGATCAACATTCCTAGTTCAGTTCTTACTATCCACGAAACAACAGTATCATAGACTAATAATCACTTCTGAGCAATAGAAGTTCATTTCCGGGTACTAAATTTACATATCCGCCTGCTATATGAAAGTTGTCCACTGAGCAGTGCTGTTACAATATACTAGAAGTGTCAATCAAAT